CAGGCTTTCATGTGTCTTGCACTGAGGAGAGGCTTCCGTCAGGCCACTCTGCCATAAAGCCCCGACTGGTGGGGGGCTGCAGTGATGGTTGACTTTCTACAACTTTTTCCCATCTCCCGACTGCATCTCTGGAGCTCAGCCACAGTCATCTTTGGGTTCTTCTGTACCTCTCTCACCCCAAGGCTTTTCTCCCCCGATAGCTCAGTTTGGCCAGACGGCCAGCTCTAGGAAAGGTTCTGGTCGTCCCAAACGTCTTCCATTTAAGGATTATGGAGGCCACTGTGCTCTTAGGAACCTTAAGTGCAGCAGACATTTTTTTTGTAACCTTGGCCAGATCTGTGCCTTGCCACAATTCTGTCTGTGAGCTCTTCAGGCAGTTCCTTTGACTTCATGATTCTCATTTGCTCTGACATGCAGTGTGAGCTGTAGGGTCTTATATAGACAGGTGTGTGGCTTTTCCTAATCACGTCCAATCAGTATAATCAAACACAGCTGGACTCAAATGAAGGTGTAGAACCATCTCTGGGATGATCAGAAGAAATGGACAGCACCTAAGTTAAATATATGAGTGTCACAGCAAAGGGTCTGAATACTTATGACCATGTGATATTTCAGTTTTTCTTTTTTAATACATCTGCAAAAATGTCAAAAATTCTGTGTTTCTATGTCAATATGGGGTGCTGTGTGTACATTGAGGAAAAAAATGAACTTAAATGATTTTAGCATATGGCTGCAATATAACAAAGAGTGGAAAATTTAAGGGGGTCTGAATACTTTCCGTACCCACTGTAGCTTCATATTTATTGTTCCACATCTATGGCGAGTGAAAATAACAATGTCTTGCTGTAAGTTAGACTTTAATTTAGTAACTAATAGCTAATAACCATGGTTTTTATGAGACATCAGTTAGCCAGAGTGTACTTAGCTGTTAGCAGGAGTTAGCCTTTAGCTTTGAAGCTTCTTTGGGCCAGAGTCGAACAGAATCCAGAGTGCCAAGATGGTCTCGGGCTGAGGACCCGAGACAAATCTGTCTTTGGGGGGTTTCTGGGCTTGTTCTCAGGAGTGGAGCTGCTTCTCAGGTGGCCAGGTCTTCTTCAGAATGCTGGCTTCACCAGGGTTCTTATATTGTTTGGCTGTTCAAAGATGTCTTGGTAAAAAAATGTATTTAATTTAAACTTCGCAGGATCATCCTGATAGTGTCTCTGGAGTTTAACAAAGGATTCAACCTAGCTAAAACTTGCTTTCAGCTTTGCTACAAAAAGTTTTTTTTTTGTCTTAGACTTTTGTTGCTAGAGTGAGTGGTCAAGTTTTGGTGTCCGTTTACTTCTGGTTTTCAGAATAAATGCAAAAACAACTTGCGTTGCTAAATAATAAAAACACTTCCTGTGGCAATGTTAGCATGCGATCTAAATGAAAAAGATTCATTTTGCAGAAAACATAAAAGCATGCAGACAAGGGACCGACTCCGAGAAGGCTCGAAGTTTTTCTTGTTCATTCTCTGTTGCTGAACGAACTTATTTTCTTTCTCTCAAAAACTTTTCTTCTTTCTGAACGAGTGTGAGACAAGAAAGCAGTATTAACTAACATAGGCATGTGCCAGCCAGAGCAGAGTCTTTCTCTGATTGGCTCAAGAGTCAGCAGTGGAGAAAGATTCACGCCCAATTTGCTAGTTTCAGATTAGAAAATCTTTTGAAAATGTACTGTATTTCTTCCACCATGGCAAAGTAATACATAATCTTAAGCAACAAATAGTTTGACAAGAAACCTATGTGGAGCATTCTGTGGAAAGGAAGGAATGGTTAACTTTGTAACTTTGAGATTAAAAAAACAAACAATCATAAATCAGGACATAATCATTACAAGAAAGAAATCAAAAGAACATGATTTCTTATGTAACCCTTTGAGCAGTACTGAAGAGTTAGGATGCCAGGATTAACAATGTCTCTCTGGTAGTTGATTTGGGGAGCATCTGGAACAATAGGCATGTATTAGTGTTCATGGAACATGTATCACTTCCATTTTGTTGGGGGTTTTTTTTCAAATATTTTTGTTGTGGAAATCTTCTCCAAAACTTGTCTTAATGTAGAGAGGTGCTGTCATTGCCTCCTGTGACCCAGGCTCGGTGAACAGCACTGGCAGCAATACAGAGAAACTGGTTCTAAGAGGTTGTGAATGGCACTGACCTCAGAGAATAAAACTACAGTATCAAAGAGGTTTTGTAAATGATTTCACTTGTTTATTAATTAATTACAGCAATACAGCAATTCTGAAAAGAGAATGAATTAATTTGGTTTTAAATCTTACATGTATCAAAACTATAGGGGCGAAAAATCCTTAAAATTAAACTACACTGGTGTTAAAGAATCGCGCTTCCCTTGGCTTTAAGCCTTACATCTAACTTAACTATTAGGCTGAACTTCCTTCCTAAAATATTTAGAGAGCAGTAAAGTAACTGTGTGCTGATGGTCAGTCCTATTGGGAAGCCATTATAAAAACTTTGCTGCGTGATCCCTGATCTGGGCAATGTTGATCAGCCCTATTCCCACAAGAAACCCCCAGTGGTGATGCTGCTTGGTCAGCAAGTTGTGTTGTGTAATCGTTTCATAAAAACAAATATCTGAAGAGCTGGGCAGAGCATGGTGGAACATAGCAAAGTGTAATGGAGCTGGGAAAAGGAGTGCCAGAGGTGCCAGCAGAGTAGATCGATTTAGAGATTCCCCCCTACCTTAATTTACATGCTGTACCTTTAAGTACAGTACTCGAGTACATGTCAGCTGAGTTATGTTACACCACTGGACGTATCTTTGGCATTTCTGTACTGTGGTTTCTGATACTCACTGTTTTATGTGTTCTCCATTGCAGGGTGCTGTTTCGAGCTCTGCATAACACCCTAAACCCCTCTGCTGTTCTGAAATTGGCTCCGATGGACAAGGTGAATTCAGAGAAATACCACGAGAGAATGCAACGTTGGAACCTGAGCCACTCCAAAGTCAAAAGGCTACCATTGGGCGCTGACAACCCTGGCCTGGAGCCCAGTACAGCTTCAGAGGTGTCCTGACTTTTAACTACACACATACAGGCAGACATCTGCTGGCAGAGCAAACAGGATTATACCAGAGTTTGACCTGACCAGGAAAAGAAAGGCCCAAATGTTCACAAAAGGCTCTTGTACATGTCACGGCCAGAAAAGCAACAATGTGATTATTACTTACTGCCTAATAGGCAGGTTTTCTGGTGACAAACCTTTGAGGATGTGCATGTACTGGGGGAGAAAGCGCACTAGTGCACTGTTATGCTTGCTTATCTTTTGGAGATTTTCATCATTTTAAGTAGTAATCAATCTGTTGAACAAAGCCATTGATTACCTTCCTTTAGTAACAGACCATGTGTAGTCTTTCACTGAAGTGCTCAACAGCTGACATAAAAACACAGAGCAATATCGTTCATATTCATATCACTTATCTACATTTTCCAAAACTTGCAGTAGATAAATGTAGATAATACTAGTATTGTAACATGTTACAGTATATGTTGCAGTTACCCTCGTTTCTACTTGTAACAGTCACACCAGTGATAGAGCCGTTACCCCACCATTGGATTAGCTCATTTTAATAAATAAAATGCTCTGTGCGGTCAATACACGATGTGATCATTTTACACGGACAGTGCAGATAAAACACATAAGACTCAGAGAAACAAAGTAAAAAAAATATGAGCCTTCAAATAGCTGTGCATCTAGCAGCAGTAAGTGAGCAGAGAGGAGCAGCAGGTAGCGTTGAGGGCCACACGTCCCAGTAAGTACAGTACAACAACAGTCAACGGCGTAGGTAGTCAGATGGAAGCTAGTCTGAGCTTATTGAGCAGGGTAGTGCTGTAAATCAAAGGTTGCTCTGCTCTGGTTTGTTTCAAATGTTGTTTCAACATTTTATAGCCGTCCTTCGAGCGGTTTACTGCTCAACAAGTTCTTGTCATAATATTCTGCACATAGTCTCAGTATTTCTGCTTTGTTTTCTACCCCATGATTCATGCGCATCTCATTAATGATGTTGCTTGGAAACTTGTCTATTCCATCCTCTTAACTACAGTCTGCTAATTTACCACTTCTTTACGTAATCGTGTTTTGGAACATTTAACACTGATCTTTTTTTATTTGCACTACCTGGTGTTAACCATGCACACTGGCATGCTCACTGTGGTTGCAAGATGTTTATAGTCCTGTTAGTCACGGATGGTTTTGTTTGTTGCCATGGCTGCCATGAATATCAGTAAAGTATGAGAATCGACTGAAAAACAAGAACACCATTGAGTGACTTCATCACAGTGAATATCAGGCCTGCATTCAGCCACATTACCCTCACGTGGTAATACAGTTTGAGCACAGTTTGAATTGAAACACTTCACTACATTAACTCTTATTGCACAGTTTATTGTACAGATTGATACAGACTTGATGTTCATTGGTATCAATTGTTCCATTCCAGCAAATGTCAGCAGTAGGTGAACTGAATTCCACATTGTGTAAAATGAGTGGAAACCAAAGAAGGCCTGGAATGGTAGCAGTGCATGTACATTTCTAAAACAACAGCATGGTTTCAAAATGACTTTAAAGAATGTCATGTATACATGGACTAAAACATGCCCTTCCACCGTGTGCATGTATGTCTGTAAATGGGTGAAAAAAGGGGACTTGTAAAGCACTTTGTCAGTGAAGCTGGAAGGCAGAAGGTGTTTGGAGATTAAAACTTAGTCAAGAAAAAAACAGATGTTTCATCAACAAATTCTTAGCAACCACAATCAAATAGGGGGCCTGGGCTGTGCTGCTGCCACTGAGTGTATTTAACTGTACCAGTGGTTTCTAGTCAGCAGGACAGGCTTTGTTTGTACCCATGTAGGAGACATCAATTCCAGGAGAGGTTCGATTTGGTGTCCTCTCTCTCTCTCCCTGTACCTTTCTGCAGGTTGCCCTGGCCCTGGAGCTCTACGAGCAGTCCCCAGCCACATCAACCTGGCAAGTGTTTGATTGATTGTTGTGTCTTGTTGCTTTTCTTCTTTTGTCTCTCCTCTATCCACTCACCCCAACCGGTCGAGGCAGAAGGCCGCCCACCAAGAGCCGGGGTCTGTCGGAGGTTTCTTCCATTAAAGGGAGTTTTTCTTCCCCGCTGTCACCAAGTGCTGCTCAGGGGGGATTTGTTGGGTTTTCCTTATAACAGTGTAAGGTCTAGGTGTGATTATGTAAAGTGCCCTCAGACACCTGTTGTTGTGAATTTGTGCTATGCAAATAAATTGAATTGAAATTTCAGATGATCCCTACACTTGATTTAGTCCTCGCTGGTGCAGCTTAGCAGAGGAATACTAGCTGTATTAGGTGTCTTCTAGTGATTGGATTATGTGATAAGAAAAATTATGTGAAGAAAAAACCAGAGCACACAGGTCCAGCAAGTCAAGATTTTATCAAAGCAGCAAATTTAAGGTGACCTGACCTTATAACCTCTATGCAATTCAGCTTTAACTTTGATGCAATACATAAAATACACATAAAATTGAAGACTAGGCGCTGATGAGAGTTTTATATTGTAAAAACTGTTTTATTGGATGTATAACAAACTTCCAAGGATTTTTCTGTACTGTTTCAGACATTGCAATAAACTGATTGTTGTTCAGACCTTGTGCAGTCTGTGTGATATATACTTAAATTACCTGAGCTCTGTAATTAAATAATCTTTTTAGATTTGTATTATGATAGCCAGTCTTAACCAGCACATTTAGCCAGAACACACAGAAAACCATTTGCTTCCCCACAGAATGACCAAAGCATGTGCATCAAGAAATCATCCAGCCTACAGAGTCCCACCTGCCTGAGCCAAGGTAGAAGCATTTATTTCTTTTCGGTAAGACACTGTCTATAGTCATGGATTGTCAAAACTAGATATGCTTCTATTTCAGATATCTTCTACCTGAGGTTTACTCGGGTTATCCAGGTATCCAGGACTGTTCATTCATTTGTCACTTTGCATTATTCATCTGACACTGAGCAAAAAGCAGGTACACCCAGGGCAGTCTATCACAGGGCTGACTCTCATTCATTTGAACATTTAACCCCTTTCAGATGTGGTTGTCATGAATTTGCAGGCTACATGTAGATGGATAGCAGGTACTTTTTTGGCATTCAGACAGAGGTCTGGGGTGTGTAAAATTCCTGGGAAGGTTTTGTTTAAACATAGTAGGACATAGCTGGCTACAGCCACATTCACACACTATCCAACATCATGCAAGACACACAAAGCAATGCTATTTACTATAGACAGATTTCCTGTTGACAAACTGATCCATGCATTTGTTACTTCCAGGCTGGACTACTGTAACTCTGTATCATCAGGATGTCCCAATCTGACAGGAACTAGCAAGAGACATCATATCTCTCCTATATTAGCTTCTCTCCACTGGCTCCCTGTAAAATCTAGAATAGATTTTAAAATCTATATTATGGTCATGCCAAAGAGGGCATCATGACATAAGGGCTCTACATGCTGCATGCATCAGTATGCTTGTGGCATCCTGTGGCTGTGTGCATGCGGTTCACAACCATCGCTGTGTTTATACACATCTTCATACATGAGGGTTTGCAGAGCTGACCTTGCACTCAGGCACTGTGGAGGGAAAGAATTTCTGGATGAGGAGGAGGAAAAGGAGTTCCTGTGTTGGTGGTATTTACTGTGAACCAAGGTGATGCTCTGTCCTCTAAACCACATGCAGAGAGAAGATGAAAAGTTCATGAAACTCATGAAACCAATGCGCAACAAAGATGATGAGATGCAGAAAAAAAAATTATTTTCGGTGCCTAAAAATAACTGTAGCTAAAAAGATAAATTAAAACTATCATTTTAACATCCACAGCAGGCCAGTCAATGTAATTGTTATTTGACCTTCATTATCAAATGAATTACCTTCAAAAATGTCACATGATGACATTAATAAACCTGCTTTACGTTTTTACATGGAGGTGGAATATTTAGCAGAAGTGGGCCTAGGGAGGGTTATTTTGGTGTTTTCAGCTGATGGGGGTGGCTTGTGAACAAAACATACACTTTTACCATATCATATCGGCAGGATGACAAAAATGCCACCACTTGCAAGACTCTTTAAAAATCTTTTATGGTCGACTTTTAATCCAACTTTATCATGACATATCATGATAAAGGACAGTATGGACAGTATCATCCAGAACAGTGTGGGTCTCTGAAAGATTTAATCCCTTCAAACTCGACAAGTTTTCATTGTCCCCACTGCCCCCACCCCATCAGTTGAAAACATCAGAATAACTTTCACCAGTGCTGAATAGCCCCACCCTCCAGCTGGGACCAGCTTTCCACCAACTTTACCTCGATTGCTATCTGGCCAGTTAGGGGCAGCACCAGCTGTAAATACAACACGCTGAATATGAGTCTTACCTCCCCCTCACAAGGGGAAAAAGGCCAGGACCGGTGTCAAATCGTTCTACCTTGCCGAGATATGCTACTTTAGATAGCAGTCTTTGGATTTACACACCACACCCCATCCCTTCCCCTGACCACTTTGTGGGCTGTAGGAAGCACAACCCAACAGAACACCCAGACTTTTTTGTCCCATCTTCAAGCCCTGTTCAGGAAAGTTTACCAGGATGGGAATTCAAACGTGTCATCTGCACGCATAAAAAAGGAAAACACGCTCATATTACAGTTAGGCCTACGTCATAGAAAGCTTATTTCCTTCTCCACATGTCTGATTCATGCTGACAACTTTCACTTCTCTCTGGCTGGGGCTCGAATCCTTAAAGCTGTGGGTGAATTTTCCTGGAGTTATGAGTTTCTACAGTGATGCGTCTACCGAAAGCATGAGCGACGAGTTGGAGACTCTGGGGTAAGACAATCTGGGACTGATAGTCAGATCTAAAGCTTCTTTCCAGCTCTGTGCACGTTACAGGCTGCAGAGGACATATTGTAGCCTGCACTATTCAGTAGCGTACCGATCCTATGCGATCAAAAGCAGCAGACTGCCTTGGTAAAATCAGCATTATAGAATCCCCTGGGCAGACAGAGTGGCAGACACCTTTATCACTTCTGATTTGACACAGGCAATATTAGTCGGCCAAGTTCTTTGTTAGAAATTATGTTGATGGGTTGGTGTGTAGCTGCTATAATGCCTAAATCTTTATAGGTAATTCTGAAAGTAAAGTGGTCTACATGTTAAACACCTGCACAGTTTAATGTAATATTATTTCTACCTTTATTAAGCTTATAATATATCATTTCTGTTGGGGTGTGCTTGATATTCTCCCTTCACATGTATGTAGCTACATGGAGTGGACAAAATATTAGAAACACTTGTCAGAACAAGGCGGTCCAATATGACCTCAGTGGCAAAGGACACATCAACACTATTACTCTTTGGTTCCTATTTATCTGGCTGTTTAGTGTCTGCTAGGAGCTGTGGTAGGATCTGTGATTTGTAGTTGTATTGAGAGTTCATTTTGCTCAGGTTAACGGTGATTTTAAAAAATAGATAAAATGTAACCAAATCTTCCTTTATAACCAGATTGTATTAAAGTATTATGAACAGCTTGTAGTTTAAAAACCTCATCGTCAATACTGTAATGTTTATGTAGGTTCAGTTTTGTTCAGGCAATTTGGGTACATCTACATGTCTACAGTAAAGATCCAGTCCAAGCATTAGCATTTCTCTGAGGCTGTTGCCAAGAGGAAGGTTAAGAAGACAGCTTTAAGTAGCAAACGTTCAAACACATAAAACAACAAGGTTAAAACAAAAGTGTGTTGACAGTTTGCCCCCTGATCATTTTTTTGTTGCTCCCCTATTTCAGACAGGCTGGATCCGGCCCTGGTCTGGTCCTGTATTTACTATGGTACTGTGCAGTTTATATTGAGTTTATATTGGAATCTTTCTCTCTGTTAGCTACTAATTAGTTAAGAGAGGATCATGAAAAATTGAAATTTATTTTAATACACAAAAAATACTTATACTGATACTTTGTGTGTCATTTTGAGAATATACTTGCTGTGGACTGTCAAGTGAAAAGATTCTTCTATGAAAAATAACCTCATCAAAACAATTCATGAGCTTCTTTGTCAGGCAACTTAAACAAATAAATATGGATTTCAGTAGTTAATAGACTATGACATTTTACTGGGTTCACAAAAACATAAGCCTACCTTTTCTGTGCAGAATCTCAGTCACCCTGGTCATAATAAGCTGAAAAAAATCCATTGGACTTGGTTTTAGGTTGAAGACATTTCACCTCTGGTGTTGAGCCAGAGATATTTATCCCCCTCGGTGGTGTTTCAGTCCCTTGATGCCCAACAATGTCCCTTAACAACTGAGTCATTATAGCCCAGTATCGGTGAGAGTCGTTACCTGTCTTTGAATCCTCCCCTGTGGACCGACACCTATTGTCCTGGTGGTCATGTTTGGGCAGAGATCTCAAACAGGATTGTAGATGGATGACAAGTTGTGTCTTAGTCCACCACCCCTATTTAGTGAGGGGTGTTCTATTTTTTACAAAAATAGCTTCTTTGACTCCTCTCTCAAACCAGCGATGTTCTGTTCAGTATTATCTCCTCCTACCGAGGTAAGCCATTATCTCTGCTGTTGTTATTGGGTGTTTGCCATGTGTTTCTTATACAGTATGTCATACTCCATACAGGGTCTCAGATTTGTCATGTAGGGATCAAGTTGTGGTTCAGAGTAATATCTCCCCTCCTTTTGTGCTTAAGCTGCACCCTTGCCTTCCGGCATGTACAAGAGGTTATTGGCATTTTTACTCTTATTGTGCTGCTTGTGATTGCTAATGTTTATGTCTTTGTGCATTTTTCTAGGCACAGTCATTCTAGACATAGGTTCTCAACCTGTAAAAGCTGTTGCCCTTTTCAGGGCTTTTGTTCTCTTCTTTATGGATGTACTTGATTGGTGGGGGTGCTAGGGACAATGGTGTGCAGTACACCACCTGTTTTTCTGCCAGAAAATTGTTTAGGCAGTAGGTTTAGGCCAACATTAGGGTTTTGATTTGATTTGATTTGATTTATTCTTTCAAGCATATAAAACAGTTGCTATAACAACATAAATTTTTACACACAATCCAATATCAATTTGCTTATACCTAGTACATGCTTGAATGGAGTAGGAAGAAGTCAGACTTATCCAGTCCTACCCCATGACATCATCTTACCATCATTGGTTTGCAAGCAGTAAATAATTCTCTTCTACACCACACAAGTAATATACTAAAGAATTATTACAGAGTACTAACATTCATACCCCACACCCACAATGTTCCATCTAATTAATCATTAAACCTGTTCTTGCATATATCTTGATTGACACATACCTTTATATTTATGTTTAAACTCGTCAATTCTATTACAATTTTTTTATGTCTACACTTAAATTATTCCATAGTTTTAACCCACTTATAGAAATACAAAATCTTTTTTTGGTTGTACGTATAGCATGAATTTTTAAATTTAACTGACCCCTTAAATTGATTTCTAAGTCTGTCAGCCATATATTTACCATGCAATACATTGACTGTTTAGTATATGTATTTGATGTATTACATACTAAAGGTACCTGACATATCATCTGTATTTGACTCCCTGGGAATGAGGACAGGTTTGTTATAATGGCATGGTTAAGGATCATCTTATCTTACTGTATTTTTGCCTTTTTTTAGCTGTGGGTATCAATGTTATTTATAGACTCAGCAAATCTTAATGTATGTAAATACACTTTCACATCCTGGTTTCATATGCCTCCATCTTAAAGTCTCAGTTTTGTTTAACAGCAAAAATCTATTATAAGTTGGGACACTGTGTAAATTGTAAATAAAATCTGAGTGAAATCTTTGTAAACTCGTATTTAATTGAAAATAACACATATGATTTATCATATAGTGAAATTGATCAATTTTATGTATTTATTTTTTTAATTGCTTATTTTAAGTTTTATACCAGCAACATTTTTCAAAAAACGTGGGTCAAGGGGACGTTTACTGCTGTTTTAACAACATTGTCTTAGTGAACTAAGGAGATCAGTTGCTTTAGCAAAATGTTTTCCTATTTCTGCTTGAGATAGGATTTCAGCTGCTCTACAGTTTGAGGCCCCCCTTGTTGTATTTCCACTTCATAATGCATCAAATGTTTTCAGTGAGTAACAGGTCTGGATTTTATTTCATAAACCTAGGGATTTACTATACTTTTTATGATTTCCAATGTGCCACCCCTCTAGCAGTCTGTGTCCCAAACTGGCCACCCTCTCCACAGTTTTCTGAACAAACCATGTGGTCCCTCTCCTTTTTAGCCTGGAGAATATGGCATCCATGATTTTCAAAAGGAATTTCAGATTTTGTCTTGTCAGACCACAGGACAGTTTTCCACATTGTCTCAGTTCATCTTAAGTGATTTTGAGACACTATACTTTAATTAAATTAATATTGCAAATAATCATCTTAATTCGAGAAAGGCAGTTGTTTCACACCAACATAGTTAAATTTTAAGGGAGTTCAGCCTGATAGTTTGGATTAAAATAGAATTAACTCTCTTTTTTGTAATTAAATTATTAGTCTGATATATTCTCTTTTCTTTAATTACACTAATATTGCAAAAAGCTAATTTTTCTAATTTTTTCTTTTTTTCTTACTCCTTTTCCTTTCCTCCAAATGTAATTTCAGAGGTGCTGGCAACAGCTGTCATGGCTGTTAAGCTTGCACCAACAGTGTTGCTGCAGCTACTGTAAGTGTAAGCGACCAGTTGAATATCTGTATAGGCTGTATAATCGCTAAGTGGTTTGTGAGCTAAACAGACCCATGTAAAAGAAATGAGTGCTTTTTATATTTTGATTGGGAAAATTAATTCACTGGAGAGGATTACTTCAATTCTTTTGGCAAAAATGTGGGCAAAAGTCTAATAGTTCTGGTTCAGTGCACTTATTGCCAGATTTGTTCTAATTTCTACAGTCAGTACTAAACAAAAAGTACAACAAACACTAATATATGACAGGGAATGCCATTAGTTTTGCAAGTATTGGACAAAATACCTGATGATGACTCTAGATGAAAAACTAGAGGATCTCAAGGTTTTTGAGATTCATCCTCTGAGGATCATGAATATCTCTACCAAGGTTTGCCTCATTTCATACAGTAAATATTGAGATTTTAATTATATAATGTAAAACTTTGGCCAGTGGGTGGCACTAGGGTAAAAATCACAGAATCTCTAAAGTCCTCTGGGGACCAAGAATGTCAGGACCACATTTCATGGCAATCCATCATATAGTTATTAATAATAATATTGATTCAACCAAGTTGCCCAGCTCTGCTTTTTGCTGCTTTTTAAGACTGTTTAAAAATGTATCTTTAGTTCTCTTACACTTGATGTGTGCATTGCAATAGAGGAAAATCAGCAAAAACAAAATAATGCAAAGACAGTTTTTGCATTTGGAGAGAAAACATTTGGGCTTCATTTTTTTTATTTTTCCCCAACAGAATTTGGCAGTTTAGATGAATCTTGAGATTTTTTTTTCCACAAGAAATTTAATTGATCAAGATGGATTCTCAGCTTTCCACAGTATTGATGTATGGGAAATGTCTTGTTTATTTTGTTGAAGGTGGTACCACTATGACCTGTCCCGCCATGCTGCAGAGGCACTTCTCTTGTCTAATGGGAGTGATGGAAGTTACCTCCTCAGAAACAGTAATGATGGACCAGGCTGCTTCGCCTTGTCTGTCAGGTCAGTATGACTATAACACTTTATTCTAAGTGAAAGAAATGCACCATGGTTTTGGTAAGTTTATCTCAAAAATGGTGACATGATGAATATCTTTATTCACAGTAGATCACTCTCATAAGAACTAAGATTGTTGAACAATCTTTAAAGTAAGCCAGATACTAAAGTGATCTTAATCTAGGGTTGTCTATAGCAATGCTTTTTACAGAATGCTTTATCAGATTTATAAACTTTTTACTTATTGTTTGATCAAAGTTCAGTTGAGATTTGAATAAAGATTTTGCCATTATATTTTGGAAAAATTTGTGTAAGTTGGTTTGTTATTTGTTAAGAAATATTTAGAAAACATTTAACACCAACTTCTTTTGCAGACAAACATTGTTGCTGCAGCTTCTCATTCAGCTATGATCTCCACAATGTAATCAATCTTCTTGAGTGTCATCTGTTTAAAGGTGCAGTGTGTACAATCTGGAAGGATTTATTAGGAGAAATAGGCTATCGTTTGACTTATATTGAGCCCTTTACATCTACACTGGGGCAGGTCCCTTATCATAAAGGCTGCCATGTTGAGAACTATGTTTTTTTAGAGTACCCCAGAACAGACAAACCATACACTGACTCTAGAGTGTGAATTTTGTGTTTTTGCATTGAAGCAGCAGCTTGTATTTGGAGATGCCTGGAAAATGAAGAAGTAATGTTAGAAACAAAAGGAAGCATTGTCGTGAGTTTAAAGACTGTAATTTGAAAAAATGGAGGATCATAGTTATACTTTAACACAAAAAAGGACTGAATCCCAATCATCAAAGAAGCGAAGATACGAAGAAACAGGATAGGCAATGGCACAAGAAAATGATAAACAATGGCGTGGCCTTTCCCAAATGGAAATCCTCGATGAGGGAAAATGTTTCCAGAACTGAAGTTGCCTGTTTTTTGCCTACCAAGTAAAATTAACAATAACAAGTAAAGTAAGTAAAGCAGGTTTTTGTTTGATAGAACATGGCCAATGCTGGGTAACCCATTGTGGTCAAGTGAGCCACCACTAACTTTTGCTTGGTCAAGTTAGCCATGTTTTCTGAGTGCGCAGTTTTTCCTACATAAACGGTAATCATTGTGAAATGGCTGTGAGGGCTGTTTGTAACCTCACCACTAGATGTCACTAAATCTCACACACTGCACCTTTAAGATATATTTATGTCATGCAAAATCTAAAGTTATCAAGGTAGATATTGTGGTGTCAGCCATGGATGATGCATCAGCCCCTAAAGTGCGACCTTGGGGATAAAAAGAGACAGTAACATAATGCAGCATCTGTCAAACTAGGTGTGAATGATTAATTAATAGTTCCCGAGCCCCGCCCCCTTCATATGGTTCATATGGTCCTTCATGCAGTGATGGTGATAGGAGATGTCACACCTTCAAGTGCTACAGGCAGACCAACCACCAAGTCGGGACCAGGGGACAGCCCTGGAGGCATGGCTCCACCCCATAGCTCGCAATAGGTTGGGGCAAATCATGTGACCATTGTGTTTAAGTTGGGCTGCAAGAGTGCAGGTACATTTTTTTCTGAAACATCAGTGGTCATTCTGTCACATTATGCTCAGGAGAGGGCCTGTCTCTGCAGAACAAAGGATTTATTTGTGGGATTTATATCAGAATAAATAAGCTTTTTTCGCAGAGTTTTTAATTACATATTTAAGTATATTATTATTTATAATGGTTGTTATTATCATGGGTGTCCACAGTGTTTTAACCCAGAGAAGGTTTGCCTTCTCACAAAGCAGACCTTTGGTGTGTTAGATTTTACCCGAATTCTTTTATTGAAAGCACGAGAAATGAAGACAGGCAAGGACTGCTTAAAATCAACAGGAAGTTTACTGGAAGTCTGAGCATAGTGACGTCATTACAGCGCTGGAATCAGAGAGACAAAGTTTCCCCAGGAGATCCGACTTCTCTGAAACCTGAATTAAGTTCTTACAATACATTTTATCTTCTCGGGCTGCTCCGCCCTGGACAGGGGTGCAACCTTCAATAGTTTGTGATCCTATTGATCATTTGGTGCAGTGACGTGCGGTCAGGGGAGGCAGATGAGGCAGAGCCTTCCCTGTCAATCTTGAAAAGAAAAAAAAAGTTAACCATAAAATATAATAAATGTTCATATTTGTCGGCTGGTGTGTGTTGTAGGCCCTTTTGCCGTTCGAATCCGATGTTGAAGGAATTTTTTTCAATAAAGAATAGCAGAATTTCCGTATGTCCCGTTCAAATACATGGAGGAGATGCGCGATGAGGCAGCACTTTGCTGTGCCTCTTGGTGGATCGTGTAATCCTCACAAACTTTATGCGATGCAAATAGTGTGTCGCTGTCCCTCTATATATCGCAAATAAAATGCTTTCAAACACTCTG